AAATAAAACAAGAAAGAAAGAAAAGAAAATAACTCAAGCAGATAAGTTCCCAAGTTCAATTAGATTAACGGATTGATTCTATAGCTAAAGTATGATTAAGCCATGGTGTCTAGTCCTAACCTTGTATTCCTAATTCCCTAATTTGATAATCTGTTGTCTAACCTAAACTAAAAATCCATTAAGCGTAGAAGAACATTTTAAACAACCAAGTATGTATCTAATCCCTATTGTTGAATGTCCATACGTACTCTTCCTATTCATAGTTCAATTCGAATTAAAGCATGGTGTTTACTCTTAATTCAAACCAAGATAGCTAACATGCAAGCTTAAATGGTGATCAATCATTCAAACTAGCATATTAACTTACAAGCATAATGAATAAGAACAAAAACCATAATTGAAACTTGGAAACTAATCAAACTTGAAACTAAAGAAAAGCATTTACATAACAATGAAAAGTAAAGTGGAACTAAGAAAAACTTAAGGAGAATTTCAGCACAAAGATTTCATTACAACAATTGAAAACTAGAAAGAGAAACTAAGAGAATTTGAGGGAGAGAAGGGAGGGGAGCTCTAGAGAAGTGTTTGAGAGCTCCCCCCCTTGGGGGGGTGTTTTGAAGCTTGAAGACTTCTCTATTTATAGGGCTAAGAGGGAGGAACATCATGATGAATTCCAACACCACCATTCCTCTTTTAATACAACCCATAACTCTCACTTCATCTTGTCTATGTTAGTGTGGTTGGAATCAATTTCATCCCATACTTCTTTTGCTGCTCTTGAAGCTTTTATCACATGGGTTTTCAAAGGTGTTCAATTGTGGCTGCCTTTTGCTGCCAACCCATGTGGTTTTCTTTTGGTTGCTGAAAAGAAATGATTCTTCTAAACCAGACTTGGTGTAGGAAGGCCTGAGGTTTCAATATGTATCCAATGGGGCTCAAATTTGGATATGTCATAATAGACACCTATTGGAACAACTTTTATCAAGAATATATTCCCATATGAGCAGTACAAGTGTACGTTTTGAGCCTTGCAAGTTGACTGCCGAAAATAGACTGGAATTGACAATGCATTGCAGTCAGCTTGTGGGCTTGATCTTCCCTCCTAACAAATCTGGAAAAATCTGGATCTTCAAACCCTTTGAATTATCTTTCCAAGCATATGCAGCCCAACTCAAGAAATAATCGGAAAGACCTTCAAATGTCATTTTTGGCCCAGTAACGCAGATGCTGCCGAATTTGACCTTAAGCTGCCAAAACTTGCATAACTTCCTCTAGAAGACTCAAAATCATGAACCGTAAAATTCTCCAGAAACTAGACTTCCGCATATTTCCAATGATATAAGGCTCATCATCTGGTTCTTCTTGAGCAAGTACAGTCCAATTCGTGAAGTTGACTGATCTGCAGACACCGTTTTGAGCTAACTTGTCTCCAAAATGCATTTAATGAGTCTCAAGCTTATTACACTGAAACAAACACAAAATTTATTAAAAGCACAAGTTTAACTCAAAAACATAATCAAATCATAAGTTAGTAGGGTACAAAATGATATATAAATATGCACCAATCATCTACCTTGCGTCTAGGGATGAGCTGTCCAACCGAGGGACTACCACTATACAGCACACACGCCGAAAAATCCAACGCCATGTGTGGCCAAAACCAACCACTAAGTCCTATGAGTACAGACGGCTTTATCACACGCCGGATAATCCAACACCACGTGTGATAAAGTACTAACATAACCAAATGTGCCCACACACCGGATAATCCAACGTCATGTGTGGGTACAGTAACCAAGGGAGGAGACTTAGCATGGTGCAATCACATATTCACATAACAATCAACAAAATACCCCAACTCATAATAATCCCTTGCCCAGTTATTTAATCATAGAGTGAGTAACAATTCCTCAAAACATATAATCCATATTCAAAATAATTATATACCTCAAATATCAAAATAGCCAAAATTACTATAATCAAACGATATATATAAACTCCATAGTCAGAACAATCCATTTTAAATGCATGGTAATTTAATCGTTGAAAATAATGCTATTTCAAAACAAGGTCCACTCACAGATAATCCAAAACTACTTGACCCTGAGAGGGTCCCGCCTGTTGAGTACGCTGAGCTGGAGTACCTATTGAAGAATACGAGGACTAGATTAATTAAAATACTTCGAACGAGAACATTAAAAACAAACTCCTAATTTTTCCCGGGACTCAAGGTGTGTGCACGACGAAATGAGGAGTTTCTAAGGTCCAACTACTTGTTTCGAAAGGTGAAATAACCTCGGAAGACTCTCAGTCAACCGAGTGGTCAAACTTCCCAAAATTGGTCAACCAGGCCAAGGGGGGCCCACGACCTCCGATTCCCGATCCAAAAGTTCCTACGAGTTCAACAAAGTTTACTAAACACGTCCTGAAAGTTTGGTCCAGATCGAGCGGTCGGATCACTCGTGATCGGACGGTCACCGTTTTATGTAATCTTTGAATCATTGATTCGAAGTATCCGGGACTCCGATACTCGATCTGTGAATTCCTACATGTTCCTAGAGGTACATAGATCAACATATTTGGAAATGGAGTCAATCCAACGGTCAGAATATATCGAATTCGGATGACTCCTAATATGCGTAAATCCTATTCACCGCCAAACAACAACCGAATTCAAATCCGAGCATACCGTCGTGCTCAAGATGACATGGTGATCATTTTAGAACCCAATGGGCCACCCAACCTTGGCCCACGTGCCGGCAACTTGTAGGTGTATTGAGAAAATTCCGGCCACTAGAAAATTCTCAAAACATCCAATAATACCTATACCTATGTGATTGTTTGTGCCTGATAAATCACGGCCATGGGCAGGCTGAAGGAGCCCTTTACCTCGGCCCTGGCACTTGTTTGCAGAGGCTGAAACGCAGCGTTTCGCCAAGGTACTTCGCCTTCTTAAGAATAAAAGAAGAAATGCTAAGGCACGATCATCTCGGCCTCAAGCATAGACCGAGGCCGAGGACGAACAAATTTGGGGCCAAGGCATTAGAGGCAAATCATCACGTGACAGCAGGGTCCCAGGCTTCATTTAATGAAGTAATGCATGTTTAATGCAGCAAAACCCATTGGCCACAAAGTAGCATTTAATGCATGAG